TTCGGTTCAGAGGATAAAACACATACAACATTAATTCAACTCGATATTTGTTCACTTGAATTTCACTTTGAATGCTTGGATATTCTTTTTTTTTTTTATCATACATTTTTTATTGCAACATCTTCAATTTAAAACACAGTACAGAAGACAATTCAGGTTGCACAACATTTTGGATTAATTCAATCCCATCCCTCTATCCTACATCCCACCCACCCACCCACCCACTCCATTGCCCACCCCCCCTCCACCAACCACCATCCACCAGGGCAACAACATCCCCTCAGGGAGACCGTTCTTATTTGGTCAGGAGCTCCTTTAAGTTAGATATCAGATCTGTCCACATTAAAATTGTATCAGGTTTTGCATCGTTGATTCTCGCAGAGGACAGTTCAAGGTAAGAAATGTTCAAAAAACTCTGAAGCCAGTGAGAACTTGAAATATCGTGAGGAGGTTTCCAACGTTGGACTATAATCTTTATAGCTGCAGTCAAGCCTGTTAGCCAGATTTTGCGAGTTTTCCCCGTAAGGGAAAGGTAAGATTCATCATTTAGAAGATGTACAGCAGGTTCCATTGGTAATCTTAACCCTATTAAATCTGTAAGGGTACTAATAACCTTCCCCCAAAAGTGTAATACTCCTGGACACTACCATACAACATGTAAGAAAGAGCCAATGGTTCCCTGGTGACAAAATGAACAATACGGGTCAGGTACCAATCCAATTCTGTGTCTAATTATTGGTGTTAGATATGCTCTATGACATTTCAGATAGGGCTGTGCGATTCTGGCAAAAATCATAATCCCGATTATTTTGGTCAATAATTGATATCACGATTATTAAATACGATTATTCATTGACTTTGAAAACATCCATTTATTGAACTTTTAAATACAAATAATAATTTGAACAGTATATTTTTAACTGTTGATTTCCCTGAGCGTATAATTCAACTAAAAAACCAATACAAAAATAAATAAAATAAATGATACATTTATATCTACATTTAAATAAATAATATCAAAAATAATAAATACCAATAAACAAGATCAACAAATATTTTGGAGCGCACTTCAACAAGCTACTAAACATATATAAATATGATAAATACAAATACATTTGATCAAATATGTTGCAGTGCACTCACAACCTAGCAAAGCAAAATAATCGTTTTTTTCGATTATGTTGTTTTCGTAATTGTGGCAGGCCAAAATCGTAATTGCGATTAAAATACGATTAATGGCACAGCCCTAATTTCAGATGTATATACTGATGGTTTGGGTTTTTTGAAGCACCCGTAACATTAGCCCAAATTGCATCCCAATCCAATTCTTGTCCTAAAGTGGATATTTCCCTATCCCATGCTCTCATGCCTGATGTAGGCATATAGTTCTGGGAGTTAAGATTATTATAGATGAACGGAACTATTTGTTTGGGAGCACTCTGCACCCAACTCAGAATAGGATGTTCTTTCAAATCTGACCCCCAGGGGACCCCATAGGCTTTACAGGCAGACCTTATTCTAAAGTAAAAGAAGAGAGAGTGTTGATCAATATTATATTGAGAGACCAGTTTTTGAAAGTCATGAATACAATTTTCCCCATTAATGTCCTGAAGAGTTTTAATACCTTTATCCTCCCAAGCTTTGTTGTTAAATGGTTTGCCCCCAGTCAATAGGTTATGATTGTTACATAATGGAGATTACCTACACCACACACCCTTATAGTTTAGGAATGTCCCTGCTGCTCTGAACACTTTCATCATATAAGTTAAAATTGGACCGTACAGTAAATCACATTTTTTGGTAGATGGACCAAAAAAGGAGAAAGTCCCTTAATCTTATCGGCGCTATTAAGTCTTGTTCCATATTCTTCCAAGATGACATTTTATCCTCATCTACCCAATAGCTGAGAATGCTTGGATATTCTCAATGGGTGAATACATTTTTTTATAATAATAATTTTAAAAAAAAATGTACACCGAAGCTTTCTCAGGGTGGGCCAATGAGTAAACTGGGTGGGCCTGGGCCCACCCTGGCCCTATGGTGGCTACGCCACTGGTCCAGGGAATCGCAGAATGTTAGTCTGTTGTACATGCAGGCTATCCTTTGCAAGGCAAAACTTAACGTCAATGGCTGTCAGCTCGCCTACTCTGTTGTGATGAGTCCACCACCGTTACAGCGGAACATCAGTGATTATGTGTTACAATGGCATTTGTTAGCAACCAGAAAATTACACCAGTAATGACAAACAGATGAGAATGCTGCGTGGGGTCTGGGTGCCGTATTGGCGGGACGTTGCGGGGCTCGCTGCTCCGCCCTTTGAGGCTCGAGGAGCGGACAGTGTGAGCTGTATTACTGGTGTCGTTTCCTGGTTGCTGCAAGACAGCAAGACGCCGCGGTACTCAGCCTGAGCACACACACACACACACTCACAGCCAGGTGTGTGTGTGCGGAGCCGCGGCTGAGAAAAGATAAGGCTGAGTGAGTGAGTGTGCGGATTGGTCCGTCACTATGACCGTTACGTGACTATGACCAGGAAGAAAAACATGGAAAAAGAAAAATGTCCAACGAGGCGTTCTGGGGCAGCATAGACAGGTCTTTTCTGTGTTAGAGTTTTACTCGCTACAGGGTGTACTTTGAGGGTTTGTGACTCTGCAGGCCGTTTACATGCAGAAAAAGCTACATAACACACAAGGGGACGGGTAATAACCGGAAAAGCATATCATGGGACCTTTAACATATTGTACTTTTGGCCGACAATGCAATGATTTAGGATGCAGCTATCCAAAATGTGTATGCAATCTCCTGTCTTTTCAGAGACTAGGAAGCATGCAGGGTAACCTCGTTACACCTGTCATTTAAATCTGTCTGATTAAATCAATATGTCGGCTGCTCGTCTTGTTTTCTAAACTGCGGTTCTAGCTTGTGAAAGTAAGAACTGTAAAGTAATTATAGATTCCATCCATCCATCCATCAATACATGGAAAAGCTGCTAAAGGTAGCCTCATGTTAGCAGTTTCAAATTTGGGAAAAAGCAACATGCATGTCTTAAGTCTATGGCGATGAGAGTGGATGGCAGAATTCAAAGCGTGGCTGATTGCCCTGCTGTCTTTGATGAAGTATTTTCCACATTACTGTAGTTGTCGTTTCTCTAGTTGGCAGAAGTTACAATCTCTTTAAAAAACGTAAGAACTGAGGTCACCATGAGTGAAGTGTGGCACAATGTGATGAAAAACAACTTTAACAAGATTAAAGAACTCAGTGCCAACCGGCCGCAGGATATTGTAATAAATAAACGTAACCGCTTTTAAAATATAATCACAGATGTACCAAAAACCAAACCTTAAAGCAGCAGGACACAGGAAAAGGGTCAAACGCTAACCAGCTGACTGTGCAAACAAACAGGGAGTAGAGCAATGTATGTGCTCATTCACATTATGCCCTGTGCAACATGTGAAAAAGGGCCATTATTTCATATTGCTTTTCTATTTTGCAAAGCAGATATTGCCTGAAGCTTTTGGTCCACATAGATAACATGACTAATGCAATGACAGGTAGCATTTAACTTTATTACAGTAGAAACTATGAATATCATGTGAATTGAATACTGTCTGCTAATTGAGTAGGTGTAACGTGCATGTGAAGAGTATGATGAGATAGAGGAATGCGCAATGAATACCTTGTTAATTAAAGATGGTAGAGTTTAGTGATGTGCGGGAGAGATTGAGGTGACAAGACGAACAGCGATGGAGAAATATTTGAAAAGACTGTGAACTGGGTTCTGGACAAAATGATAACCCAGATGTAGAGCCTATGTGGTGGTCAACAGAAAAAGACAGTGAGATTGAGACATAAATAATATGTTTTATGTATTATTTCCCACGACCCACCTGACAATCTCTCACGAAACACTAGTGTGTGCTCACATTTGACATATATGTACATATAAATATGAGTTTGAGAAGCAGGTAATTTCAGTGGAATACTCTAGACCTGTGGTTGAAAACGCAGCTCTAATCAATGTTTGACAACAACTATTAAAAAACAATGTGAATGGTGCTTCTAGTAGTGATAAACCAATAGAGAATTATCACCTGCAGCTTCTCTCAGCTTGGTGGAGCTTTTGATTTAGTTTCAACTCTGACCTCAAGTGTTCTGATTTGGTTCCTTCACAATATCCTTGTATTATATTTTTCAGCATCAACAGCCGACTGTTTTCAGCAAAAATACACTAAAAGCTCACTGTACACCTCCTGCTGAGCCTGACTCTGCAGACAGACACAGTAAAAACTGTATAGTACCCGCTAGCTGGCACTACGCCAAGTGGAAACGCAACCAAAAACAGGCCGTGCACGGCACGGCACGCTTAAACCGCGCTCCACGCTGTAGTGGAAATGTGCCATTAGAGAAGCGCTGGGGAACATAGTGGAGCAGTTAGCGGCTGAAGATCCAGATCTTTCCCTGAGGAGCCGGTAGAGACCTGGAGCAGAGCTCTAGAAGCTGGAGGGAATGGGGATGATAATACTGCTCTGTAATTGCCGGATATAATCATGGATTGAAAAGCAAACGCTTGCTAAAGAAACTAAGAATGAGTTATTGCTTTTAGCCATTATGATTCATTGATTTAAAAGGTATTCTATCAATTTGAATGTTAACATATACTATTTTACTAAATGTTACCTACATTTTATTATCTTAAATGAATAAACCATGTCTAGGCTGATCCACTGGTACAGTCTTGACCTTGTCAGCTTTTGTGTTATCTGCTTTCAGAGCAGCTACTTCTCATTCATACCCAAAAATAAAACAAATCCACGCCCACTATTGACCTTCCAGAGCAAGATCTATTCCTCATAGCGCCCTCATATTCAGAAATGTCAAAATATCCCATTATAATATATTGTTTGAGTGGTGTTTTTCAGGGATGTTACCATAGGAAAATCATTGTGCTGAAAGCTGTAATCACTGATGTGTTTCCGTGTTTCTCTCTTTCTCCCTACCAGATGCAATGTAGATAGCAAAGTATCACGAGTGGCCTGGCTCAACCGCACCACCATTCTCTTCGCAGGAAGTGAGAAGTGGTCTCTGGACCCTCGCGTCATCCTGATGGAAAACACAGCCGTCACAGAGTACAGCATCATGATCCAAAATGTTGACGTCCATGACGAGGGGCCCTACGTCTGCTCCATCCTCACAAACAAGAAACCAAAATCCACAAAAGTGCATGTCATCGTTCAAGGTAAGAAGCTGATTCCTCCTCAGCCCTGTCAGTGATAAGGAAACAGAGATGTCAAGCAGATCTGTGAAGAAACAGTGTTGTGTGGGTGTTCTTCTACGGATGAATCTTGTAACCTCAAGTTGTTCTTGCCTGGATTTCATCAGTGAAAGTCCAATCAAATGAGAGTATCTCCCCTCCCCTGTAAAGGATGGTGTTTTAGATGGAATTCAATGAGCATTAGACCTGGTGATGAAACCGGGATTCAATCTCGATTTAATTTCAGATTGCTGATAGAAATTGATTTAGGGCACAGTACGCTGTCCTGGCTCAGTTTCTTTGCAAAGTCCTACAAAATCAATCGTCAGCAGAGAAACTTTTGTTTTCTTTTATGACGAAATCAATTTACCTCACAATGAGTTTCCACAAATAATAATAAGCACCAACGCCCGGAGTCTGCATTGAGGTTTATATCATGTTGCTGCACTAAACTGACATATAATTAAAAGTTAGATAAAGTAATGTAGAAGATACCTCATTATCACAAAGAGAATGCACTACATCAAGGAAAGACTTTCTTTGAGGAAAGATTCAGCTTTCTCTTTTGACTAGCTCATTTTCTGAAAGATAATTGACATGATCTTCACAAAACAAAACGGTTCAACTCGATGCTATTCACTTTCATGCCATCATAATGAACACTGGGTATTTTTCATACTGTATAATTCATGATGATATCTCATTAACTCTTAATTGATGCCGAGAAGCATCGGGCCATGCTTTTAATCAAACAATAGACAAGCATATTCTCACACAGACAAGGAGACACACTCCAATTATACTTTCCCATGGATTTTCTCTCTGTCCTTTTTCCTGACCTTGAATGACTCAACCATCTGGATACTGCGAGCTAACACTTGAAACTTAAAGCAGAAACAATATCCGCATAATGAGCAGAGCTGGGCTTTTATACACCAACAAAACAGTGGTGGAGACGCTTTGTGTTGCTACATTAAAGAGGGAGGCACCTGCTCCAACAATCAGCGAGTTTGAGAGCTCAAGTGTGTTTACCGGCCCAGGACACCTTCTTCATTCCAGCACTTTATTCTCAATACACTCTAAAACTGGAGAAAGTTGCTCAGAAAGTTTGCTCCTTATTTCATAGACAAGACTGTGACAGTTGCCACAGCAATACTGTCGGTCATTATATTTGATAGAAAACTATTTCAATACAAGAAAAACATAATCTATTAATCACAGTCATTACATAGGTCAAGCAAATTGACTGTAAAATCTATTTCTAAGCTTTATGATTTAAATCTCCTAGGGGGGGGGGGGGTGTCCTTGGCAGAACAACATTGAAGCTTCCATTTGAAAAGATTTAAGAGTGGCCCTTTGCTATGCAAGTCACTGATTTATCTTAAAAATCTTGTTTTCACTTTTCTTGGTGAAGATATTCTTAAAGCTCCCATGTCATGCTTTTCCGGTTATTACCCGTCCCCTTGTGTGTTATGAAGGTTTTTATGCATGTAAACGGTGTGCAGAGTCAAAACCCTCAAAGTACACCCTGTAGCGAGTAAAACTCTAACACAGAAAATAACCTCCCCAAAACGCCTCGTTGGAGATACGTCACTGCCCATTTGATTCTTCCGGGTACCGCCTGATGTCATGCGGTACCCGGAACGAAATGGACCAATCCCGAAGAGCTATGGCCACACCAGCAGCGGCGTGTTCCTCCTCCAGAGGTTCGATGAACCGGCATTTCACAGACGAAAGCTTCCAAAAACATTGCCCAGTTTGAGGCCGGATATGCACAGCTTGTTTGGACCGTTTGGAGCAGGGGAAGATCTGGGTATACAACCTGTAAGTTTGCATTGTTATTTGTGTATTTATCAAACAAGACTGTTTAAATGTGTAAACTGTGTTGGACTGCTAAGCCATTGACACAGTGCTAACTGTGCTAACTAAGTTGCTAGAGTTTCCATATATCAACTCTAATATCAGCAGATGGCCTTGCATACATGTATCTCATAGCAGGAGAATGTCTGCATTCACACACAAAATACCTATTGACAGTATACTGCGGGTGATTTGCCGGTCAGTCGCGAAACGTAATTACATTATAGCTGGCGTAGCGATCTAACACACGGAGCTTGAGCTAGTTTTGGTCAGAAAAACATTTTTGTGATGCTACGTTGCTAGCGTTTAAATATATCAACTACAATGTCAGCAGATGGCCTTACATGTTTGTCATGGCAGGAGAATGTCTGCAGTCACACACACGGAATACTCATACAGTATACTCCGGTTTACCGTACATTGTGACCGTACATATACTGCATGTAGCTAACGAGGCTAGCTGTATGCTAGCGCAAAACAATGTATTCATGCAAGTTACATTGTATGGTAGCAGAATACCCGTATACGATTGCAATTATAAACACGTTATTGCTAGCCTAATATGAACCACTAGCTTTTGTTCATAGTAGTTTTATTACACTGCATTATAGTTGCCTTTCCTCCAAGCTAACGTTCATATCGTGTTAGCTACCAAGGTAAACAAAGCTAGGTTAGCATATTAGCAGGCAAGCTGTTCATTACACAACTACTACTAACGAATCTAAAACAACTAAGTTTCTCTAATATTTTGTGATTTGCATTTGATTTCGTCCAGCCAGATCCTGGCGGACAATCCATGACGGGGAAGGGATTCTACTACTACTGAGGCGTCGTGCTAAAAGGCACCGCACCGCACCGGCTGTGCGCAGGCAAGAGGAGGAGGAATGGATGATATACCGTGTATATATGTATATTTATGTTCATTTTGTACATTTCTAAAAATAAAGTTTAATGGAAATACTTAGTAGGCCTATCCTTTCTTCCCTGAATTCATATATAGCAAACCATGATTTGATTTCTCATCAAACAGTAGTAGTTTATAACGGGTAAAAATAACTTACTCTTTGTTATGAGCGGCTCGTAGGCCACAACGGAAAGACAAGGAGACATACACGAGTTTACAAAACCACGGCACATTTATTGTGGTAAATGCAAAGATAGGTGGTTGAGAGGATCGCAGAGTTAGTCTTCCTGCAGCCGCTTTGGAGAGAGACTGGGGCCGTAGTGTCCGGAGGTGTCCGTGATCGTGCTGATTAGCTTCTTCAGCTCCACCCCATCGTAAGACAAAGGCCCTGGGGCCGTCACACTCTTCTATAACAACAGTTAAAAATATATATGTATATAAAATATACCGCTGTACCGACGCCATGATAAGACTGATGTTACGCTGAGAGCAGCCGGGAAAAGCACTGACATGGGCGCAGCCTCTCTGGTGGTTGACTAATCAGAACGAGTGGCCGAGCTGACCAATCGGAGCACACTAGGCTCACAGGGAGGGGGGGGCAAGAGCTCCAACGAGTCGTTTAGTGGAGAAAGTGAATACTGCTGAATACACATGCTTGACAGAGATGCTGTATGCGAAACCAATGTGAGTTTGGAAAATTGCACAGTATAAATCTATTTTAGTATACCTCAACAATGTAATTATGATCAGTGGAAATGGCCATGACATGGGCCCTTTAAATGACTTTTGTGTAGGGCCTCTGTATTTGAATGTAATGCATATTGATAGTTGCCATGGCAGTAGTAGTTTAGACTTTGATATATTCAGGTTGTTCTGCTGTTTGGATAAAGAGGCAGCCCAGAGTTTCTCCCATGATGCACTGGCCATACAGTGGTGTAATGCTGCTTTGACCTGATGGAACATATTCATTTACGAATAATGAATGCAGTGTTAACATGCAATTGCTGCCTTTTCTCAGGTATGTGTTGTGAGAACGTTGTGTAGGGAAGAGCACACATGTATGTCCAGGGTTGGGAGGGTTACTTTGTAAATGTAATCAGTTACTGATTACTGAATACATGGCTCTGAAAGTAATCCGAATACAGTGACAGTTACGTGTCTTAAAAAAGTAACGTATTCAGATTACTTTTAGATGACTTTATTTTTCCATCACAGATGGGTATGTTTTGGTGAACAGGAGACACAAAAAGCAAAAGGAAACTGAACATGTTTTTACTGTTTTAATGGCTTATCAAGAGCACAACTGAAACATAACATCTGAAACGATGTAACAACATAATACACTTTTTGGGGATGCAGCTTGGGATGTGAGGAGTGAGGGACACGGCTTAGAACGGGCGTGTCGCCTTCTTTCCTGCCAGTGTTGGCAGGCTTTTAACCACACACACCTCTACACACACACACACACACACGCATGCACGCACACACACACACACACACACACACACACACACACACACACACACACACACACACACACACACACACACACACACACACACGATTTAAACGCAGACTTTTGTTCCTCCATGTTTCGTTGTTATTGTTTCACTGAGAGGACCCGCAAACCTTTTTCAAACGCTCTCTTTTTTGGTCCATCTGCGGCGGTAATAGGTTTTGTGCGCTGTGATGATTCGGCTGTACCTTTAGTAATGAATATTAAATGTTGTGAGGAAATCTTTCCACCAATAATTCCAATAAGTAATCCAAAATGTATTCACTTCAGTAACTGTAATCAGATTACTCGTTTTTCAAATGTAACACGAGCTGAATACAGTTACTTGATTTGTGTATTCTGATTACGTAACGCCGTTACATGTATTCCGTTACAACCCAACCCTGTGTATGTCACACCCTGGAGATATAAATGAATGAATACAGTACATACTGCCACCTTTATGGCAAAGGCGGATCAGGAATCTGTGGAGAACGTTAGCGGTTCTCTGGTCCCTGCAGGCGCTCCTCTCTAGTACCTCCAATGGAGATTGGTGTTGAACCTGTACAAAGAGAAGGACTCTGGAGGCTAACATCAATCAGCCCAGTGACCTTGTCAGCGAATCCCCTCAGGAATATAGGGCATCTGCTTCCATGGCGACTGCACACAGAGAGTGGACCGACTGCAGTCAGGCCACGCTACAAGAAAAAATCATTCCTGGGAGTG